TATATATATATATATATATAGGTTGAATTTCTTCCGTAAAATTCAAAACTGTATTGATGTGATGTTGCGCTGCCAGCGATTTTTTTTATTTCCGGATACTTTGTAGCTGCGGTACTTAGTCCTTGCAATATGTAGTGAATGTTTTATCTCATGAGGTCAAGCGATTCCTCCCTCTTCTGGTCGTGACACACAGCGCCGCTCCACTTTTCAGATCGCGAAAGAACTCCCCCTCCAGTATATCCCCCATCGGGGCATCGCGCGAATTAGGGCAAACTCAAAGAGCTGTCTGTTCTCCCGTGAGGCATGTAAGTAAATTTGAAGGGAAAGGTTCCAGAAGAGGAAAGAAAGATCTCGTGCTGTTCGTTGTCAGACTCTTCAAGCATTCGACTGGTGTTAATCGCTGAAACCACGAAAAACTACCAATCAGAGCAGCCGGTCGCTATAATTTTCCTCCAGTCAGTGTCTGCATTCGACCTAGCTATGTAGCTGGTGTGGAAAATTCACTACCGTCTGGTCTCGAACTCTAGCTCCTCTAGGCCAGAGTCGCTGGAGAGTCAGCGGCAATGCTGTCTCTGAAACAGGTCAGCCGGTGTCGTGGCAGCTGGGATCGAACGAAGCAAACGATGTTAGAGAGACCGGGGACGCCATGGTAGGGCCAAAGAACAGAGGCGAATCGCCGCGCGGATCCTTTGTGCGGGCGCCGCCGTCCGTGCGCGCTGCCTTTGCGCAATCGGAGCCTCCGCCTTGATCTAGTTAGCTCCGGCACCGCCCCGCCGCGCAACGCTCGATCGGGGGCTAAGCGGCGGCCCCGCGCTCCGCTCGCCGGGATGTCAGCGCCTGCCGCCTCCGCGCGGGCCGTAACACAGTGGTGTATGCAGGGTTGCCTACACGTCCCGCGGCAGGCGCACTCGCTGCGGTGACGGACACGCCCACTGCGTCAGCATACTGCGCCGCCTACTCACACATACGCCGTCCTTGGACAGTTATCAGTAAAGATTATACGTTAAACGTGATTTTGATGACTAAAATTATCCAATTTTCGTGTGACATTGTAGTCATATATTTCGCATTTGAAAGCCTTTTGTCATTATCAAATAATATTTAATACAATGATCGTGATTTTTTATGGATTTTCGTTCTCTTTTGAATTATCATTTTTATTCTATTTTCGCATACTTGTTTGCAATTGTCTAGAATAGATTTTTCACTTCTCCTGATTGTTTTCTAAATTCTATATTGTGAATTGGCATAATAAACTATAAAGACTATAAAGGAAGTGTTAGTATAGTTTTTTCAGGTTTTGTTCCAAACTCAACCGCTTTTATATCTTTAGAAGGTAGAATTGTCTTTAAAAGGAGAAGGTGAATGTGCTAGATTTTGAAAATATATACGTAATATAATGGTTATTTAAGCACCGAAGATATTTCGAAGGTTTCGAAAATGCAACCAAAAAATATTTAAACCATATTTATGAACATATTTTAATATTTTTAGGACATAACATGTCAGAAATGCGCAAGAATTTAGGTCATAAATATCCCTACCAATCAGTCACCTGTGGGCATCACTATCGATTAGATCTGTTCAGCTTCCACCAATCAGATGACATTCGACGAGTCTCGGTCTCCTGGTGGGGAAATCATCATTTTTTCCTGAGGTTTCATTCAGAATATTCAAAGAAAATTCTCTAACGCGCGTGTTTTGTAAGAAACTAAACGCCTTTTGCGTGAGTTACACCACCTTCAGATTTTATCAGTACTTCGTTCGATTCATGATAAATCGATTTGCACAGTTCTGACTCGATTCTCACTACGTTCTTCTTGATATCACGTGTTTTTGATTGTTTAAATACATTGGTGAAACGCTGTGAATTACTATACTCACATTCAGGTATTTACATGCAACATTACGGCTTGACGCATCTCTTTTTCGATAATGAACACCGTAATTTTGTAAGAAAACAAATATTTAAAGGATTTTAATCCATAATTTATCTACGTTTCATTGCCGTGAAAAATAGTGCCGAGCAATTGCAAAATGTTTAATTTTTTTATTATAGACTTGCAAAGCACAAATAAAACTTTTTCCACGAAAGAGGTTAAATGTTTTTAGTAATCAGTTGAATGTTTCTAGCTAGTTTCAAAGTAATAGAGACAACTGAATTATTTTAGGTAAAATTATGATACGTTATACGAACCATAATACTGTCATTACAAAACTAAAAAAAAAACATATATTTGTAATTTACACTGGTTACCTACGTAATGAAATAGATGTGCAGTGGTTTTCAATATTAATTCATAGGGTTTAGTGTGGTTGAAGAACACATTAAATACATCTTTTCTAAACTTTCATACTTTCCATATTTTAATGAAGTAATTTTAGTAGTAATACAACAACAACAACAACAACAACAACACTAGTAATAATAATAATAATAATAATAATAATAATAATAATAATAATAATAATAATAATAATAATAATAATAAAAATTAAAAATAAGTCGGCCACGTGGCTCAGGCGGTTGCGGCAGCTGAGTGGGCAGTGTGCGTTGGGGAGGTTGCATCGCGTGCGCCTGTAGTGGGCCTGGCGTGACGCACGCGCGTGCCG